GCCATATAGAGTTTTATGTAGCTGACACACGTAGTCCGGATGCGTTGGGTCCTCGAAGCCACGGGGTTGTTTCATGTGGACGGTTTCTTGGAGTTGTCCATGCAAGAAGGCGTTTGCTACGTCGAGCTGCTGTACCTGCCAGTCATTGTTTATAGCAATAGCAAGTAATATGCGGATAGTATGTAATTTAGCAATGGTACTAAACGTTTCAGTATAATCTGTGCCAAATTCTTGGTTATTGCCTAAAGCTACTAAACGAGCATTGTATTTGGCGATTGATCCGTCGGCGTGATGCTTGGTGCGATAGGTCCATTTACATCCCAGTACACATGAATCTGGTGGAGGAACGAGCGTCCACGTACCCTATTTTTGCAGGGCAAGAAATTCTTCCTCCATTTCTTTGTGCCATTCAATCTTTTTGACTGCATCGGTGTAACAAGAGGGATCAGGAGTCGATTCTTGAGACTGGTTCTTATGAAAAAGATTGAACTGAACTTTTGGTTTTGATGTTTTGCTGCGGGTCACCATTGAATGCTGATTCATAGGGAGAGCAGACTCGGTAACAGGATTGCGGCTGGGACTGGGAGAGCTGTTAGAAGCAATGTCAAGTTGGGGCAGTTCTGGATATGCACGGATAATCGGTGAAGGTTGCTGCTTGGCTGGTTGATTTTGTTGCGGTTGTTGATGCACAGAATGAGGGATAAGCAGAGCTGGTGGAGTTGGGTTGGTATTCTGAGAGGATGCGCTAGAAGGAACCGAGAAAGGGAAGTGTTGTTCATCAAACGTTAAATGCCGAGAAATAGTGACTTTGGAAGTGGAAATTTCCAAACACTTGTAGCCTTTATATTTATCAGAATAACCTATGATTCTATGAACACACATGACTTGGTTTTGGGTTGGAATTTATGGCGATCATGAGGTGGTATTAAAGGAAAACACGCGCAACCAAAAGTACGTAAATGAGTATATTGCGGTTTGATTTTGTAGAGTATTTCGAAAGGCGATGTGTTCTGAGTAGTGGGAGAAGGCATCTGGTTAATTAAGTATACTGAAGTTAGGACGGCATCGGGCCAATAAAGGTAAGGGACGCACTACAGGAAAACCTGTTATTACCGGCGGACTAAATCCGCCGGAAACTATGTAAAATCCGACGGAAACTGTAGTTTCCAGGCATCTGGTTAATTAAGTATACTGAAGTTAGGACGGCGTCGGGCCAATAAAGGTAAGGGACGTTAGCTGTGGACAGCAACGATTTTGAGGTTTCGATTATATGCCGGTGCTTTCGCTCGGCAACACCGTTTTATAAACAGTAAATCTGATTATATGCCATTGATGCCCGGAAGGAACGAGCTGACTGATACCATGTAGAACCCTTTGGGTTCTTGAGAGGAACCTTTCGGTTCTTGAAATATAGTAGAAAGAAGGAAATAAAGATTTGTTTTTCGTATGCCTATTACAGAGGAGGTAACAGCCTATATATAGACAAGCTTAAAAAGAAGAAATAGCTAGCTGCCCAATGATACAATGCCAGCTCATTATCAATATTAATTAATTACATTTGGTTTATTTCCTAATAATTACAACTAAATCAAAATGCTATTAATTTAACAATGATCCTAATTAAATACTTAAATAATATGTATTAAGAAAAATACAAAATATTTTTTTTATTAAAATCTAAAATTTTATCAAGCGGAATAAATAATATGCTCTTTAATCTTTTTATTATTTATTTATTTACTATCATAATATTATTTGATTTATATTTAAGAAAAACCGAACCAGCATCACAACGAAGTTAAAATTGTGACCAATAATCAAATTGAAAATCTAACAACCGAACAAAATCAGCTAAATAAGATGGATTTTATTCGAATTTTAATATTACTAAAATAAAGCACACCCCCATATATTACATGTAAATGTACAATAACACCCCTGTAAAAAAAATTATTACACGACATTCCATCGCAATGCCAGCAGCAACAAAAAGCCACGACAGAGGCTGAGGCATGCCTCTCCGTGATCCATATAAAGTGGAAAATAAAATTAATTAGAAAGAAAATTAAACATTAGGTGGCAACTACCACGATAATCGTCTGTTTAAGCTTAATAATAATAATAATTAAAAAAAGTGAAAGATATGGCTCAACCTAAAAAATAAAAATAAAAGTCTTATTACATAGGCGCACATGACATTTGCATAATTAACGCAACAATCAGAGCGCAAAGATGTCCGGAGCAATCTTCGCACGTGCCGCCACTCACGTATTTAAATCATCGCACGTGTCTCCTTGTTCTATTATAAATTTCAATGGGGTCGGCAGAATAAAAATGGGATTTTTGGACGCAGTTAAAATTTGTTGGTTGAAAATTGAAATAACTTAAGGGGTTGTTTGATTTGCAATAAAGTGAATGTTAAGTAAAGCAAATATATGGGTATTAATTTTGTTGCTATTTGGTTTGACATGAGTAAGGTGAAACAAAATCCCAATGTATTCGGAATTATCCGATATAGTTTATTTAGCGGGTAAAGTAAAACTGCCCAAATTTGAGCGAAAAAAAAAGAATTCACGAGACGTGGGTGAGAGAAAGACATCCGTTTCATGCAAGTAAGATAGTAAGATATCGTTTCTTCCTCCAAGTTCAGAGCTCAAGTTGCTTGGCGTGAGGTATAGTTTTGTTTGAGTCGCTTCTTCAGTAGCTCATTGTTGTTCGACTTCTCCCCTTCAACGACGATGTTCCCTTTCGTCTATGGGAGTTTGCACGTTGTGAAGGTAGCTATCTTTCTCCCATTCACACGCTTCTTCGGCCAAATCCTGTCATTCGAAAACATTGTTGTGAATTGGATAATCAACTTCTATTTGTATGTGTCGGGGATATGATTATTGTCACTGTTAAGAAGGGAAAGCCTAATAAAGAAAGAAGATCATGCCTGCTATTTAATTTGAAGTTCATGAGTATATAGTGGAAATATTTCTAAACCATCCTACTTGATGTTATGAATAAGATGAAGTCTCATATATTTCTATATTAATGCATTATAGTAATGAGTAAAGTGCTCATGAAAGACTCAAAATAGTTTACTTTTGAAGAGTGCCACATAATCTTTTTTTATAAGAATTATCATATAATTGTTGCTTCTAAGTTGTTGCTAAAAAACTTCAAGATATTTTGAAGAGAATTCATATTTTGGAAAATAGACTTTGAAGGAAAATTTTGATTTAAGAATTGAGATAATTGTCCTTTCATCATTTGGGATTGTTCCTAATGATTTGGTGTGATATGATTATTTTGTGCATAGATTATTGGCCACTTCACAGAACTATAAATGTCATGCTGACGCATTGAGGAGGGTGACACGTTGTTGGCCTAAAGAATGACAATTCATAGTCTAAAGCAATGCACTGCGATATTGGAGCCGCCAGCTTCAAAATTAGCCATCAAGGACATCAAATTGAAGTCGGATCCTAAGAATGTTTTGTTAAAATGTTGGAAAAGTCCCAGTAAAAAAAAAAACCTAAATGAAGCCGACAAAGATTGAATGACGAAATGCATGAATGCTAATGAGTTAAAATAAACAACTAGGAAGGAGACAACTAGAAGTCAACTCCTCTCGATGACATTAATAGATGTCAATAAAATCATAGTTGTTGAGAAGACTTGAAATAAGAAAGTGAATGAAAATAGATGTTGTCTAAGGCGTCTCATACATGTCGGATTGATGACTAGAGACTCATCATCACTCATCAACAAGGCAATGAGAGGGTCGTTGGTAGGGCGATAAGAGAATCATTGACCATAACACCAAGAGGACATCAAAAGGGTGACAATACAAAATTCACATGGGATACAAGTAGGAGTTGATTGATCCTATGGGTTTATAAGGTGGAAGTTGTCATCTAAGAAATTCATTAGTAATGAATAGTTGGGCCAAAGTTTCAAAGCCCATATTTTGAAAGATTAGGGTATGTACAATAGTTAGCTAGCCTACTCATAGACTCAAGCTCGAGCTCAAGATCAAATCAAGCTAAAATAGTAAGCTCGAGCTTTGCTCGTACATCTAATGGAAAGCTCAAGCTTGATTCATTTGCTTGAGGTCACAATGAAATTAAAATGGAAGTTTGTTGGAGAAGTGTTGACAATGTTGAGAAAGTCACGAGTCATGATGAGGCTTGCTTGAAAAGGCATTTATGGGGATAGTGGCATTTGAATATGAAGAAGCAGATGTTATTTACATACAATGATGTTTGAGGAAGAAGTAAAAGAGGAATCTACGGTGGCAATAGCATGTTTAACAAAAAATAAAAGGAAGTCGATTCAACATTATTAGATGAGAAAAATGGGATTCATCCCTAGTGATTTTGCCTCTTAAATTGAGCGATGAGAAGCCCTCATGCGATTTAGCCAAGTTTGTAAATTAGTTAATGTAAAAAGTGGAAGAAATCATATTTGATCAAACTAGCTCTCGAGCTAATGACCCGAGTCTTCTTAAGTTCGAGTTTGAGCTTGAATATCATATGAGTTCCAAGTTCAAGTTCAAGCTCATGGCCAAATAAGCTAAACATATGAGCTTGTTAATGAGTTGAGTTCACTTGCACGTCTAGGACCAACTCATCAAAATGGCTTGGAACTATATGGACTAATAATGAATGACTCAAAAAACAATGTCAATAACATAAATGAAGGTTAAGAAAGAAGATGATATATATTACGAGAACTACAGTGTTGAAGATTTTCTAATAAAGACAGAGTTAGAAAAAGGCTCTAAATGGCATCCCTTATGAGGTCAATGAAGAGGGAAGCAATTTTGAAGCTTGGGATACTTTATATAATGACCCTCACAAAAATAGTGGAGTTAAAGTATTGCGGGTAAGAAAAACCGACTTAAGGAAGATTAAGAGTAAAATGAAGAGGTACACACAAAAGTGTACATTCAAAGCCTGGGAGATCTGGCAATCAATTAAGAGATATTAAGTTCGAAGTTTACATAGATGATATTTATGTGAGAATATCTTAATTGTCTCAAATATACGGGAAAAAAAAAAGACAATCATCCAAATTACTTAAAATACCAAATAGAAGTTTGATTCTTCCTCTCATAACATTCTAATCAAGCCACTCACATAACCAAAACAAATCTAAATCTTTATAACAATTGGCCACAGACCTTATAAGCAGACACCAATACTAAGAAACCATGAAGCAGTACAATACTTTCACCACCGACACCTTTCAGTTGCGCTGCCCCGCCGCCACCGGATACCGATCAACGCAATCATTCCACGGGCTCCTCGTCGGCTTCTTAACCCGCCGCATAGCCCGCCACACAGCACTGTTACACTTAAATCCCGATCCGAACGCCAACTGCCAAACCCTGTCGCCTCGCTTCACTCTCCCCTTAGCCTCGAGGTAAGCCAGTTCGTACCAAATGCTGCTGCTCGATGTGTTGCCGAAGCGATGCAGAGTGCTTCTGGACGCTTCCATGTCGGTTTCCTTCAAGCAGAGGTTCTTCTCGAGCTCGTCGAGGACTGATTTGCTAGCCGCGTGGACGCAGAGGTGTTCGAAGGCGAGGCGGTAGTTTGGGATGTACGGTTTGGTGATGCCGGAATCTTGGTCGGATGCTTCACCGGCGGCTGCGGCGCCGGAGGGGTTGGTGGTGGCGGAGGTGTTGCGGAAGAGCTGGCGGTAGAGGAGCGTGGCGAAGAAGATGAGTTGTTCGGAGAAGGGGAGGACGAGCGGGCCGAGCGTTGTGATGTTGGTTTTGAGGGCGTGGCCGCCGACTTCCATTAAGTCGCGGCTTATGGATAGGCCTTTGATGCGTTGGTCGTCTTCTTCTTGGTATACGCACCTGTAAGGATTATTAAGGCCGATGAGAATACTGATTTTGTTCATAAGTTGCCGTTTAGTATTAGTTAAATCGCATGAACAATGGGATTTAATAAAGCTTATATTAGATTTATTAAAATAGCAGAATTTAATATAATTTCTGCCTAAATCCTACATAAAATTAGATAAAAAGAGATGGAAAAAATGTCAATATTTGCTGTCTTGCTGATGCCAATTATATCATAATATTTTTTTTAGTTATTAAATATATTTTGAGATTAATTATATACATATTGCATTAATCTCAAAATATATTCAAGAGTAATTTAATAAATTTTAATATATTAGTATGAGAATATTATGACACAATTTAAAAAAAAAAAAACCTTTAAATGCACAATTTAGATCCTTAAAAGAATAACTAAAACAAAATGTTATTTTTATGGAACAATCAAACAAGAGTATAAGTGAGTGCGTGAGCCGGCTCAAGCTCGGCTCGATAAATGACTTGTGAGGTGAGCTCGATGAACTAAAGCCAAGCTTGAGCCAACACATACTCAACTCTTTAGCTTGCTAGTGAGCTCGTTTGAAAAAATATTAATACATATATACTTAAAATATATTAGCATTCCAAAAATATTTGAAAGTTATATTGATTTCTTTATATTAAATTAGTATTTATTATTTTTTTGAATAATTTCTCATTATTTTTATCATTTTATTATAATAATTATCTAAATCATGATCATTTTTTCTCTTTCAAAATAAATGAGCCTACTTATGAGCCAGCTCGTAGGGCTTACTCGAACTCAATTAATTAATGAAATTCACACTCGAACTAAGGAAAAATTATTAGGTGCGGAGTGTGCACCATCCGCACAAATATGGGTACCTAGCGGTACCCAACGATACCGAGTGCCGGTACCTAACGCGGAATAAAACTTGTGAGAACGGTTCTCCGCACACACTCCGCACCTAATAATCTCTCCGAACTAAGAGTGACTCGGTCTCGGCCCCACTTGTTTACGAACTTTTATTTGGCAAAATCCCGCCTATATCGAGGTGTACCGAATTTTTCCCAAAAAAACTTGGTACACCTCGATATAGACGGTATTTTGACTAAGACCGGATGTTCCTCTGCATCCGGTCGGAGGATGTAATAACGGCTCCTTGTTTACACCGTTAAATCAAACTTATAAAAGACTTAAATTATGAGAACTAAATAAGTTACCTGAAGCTGCGATCATCACTCCCCTTATGCGTCCGCACAATATGCTCGAGCCTATACTTTGCCCGTCGGAAATCCCTCCTCCTGTTCGAAAGCAGAACAGCCGAACAACCCATCCGGAAAAAGCAATTCGGAATCAACATACTCCGACTCTTCCCCGCATACCAAGTAAAGCTCACCGCCTCCGTGCTCACGACGACCGCATAATTATTCCCGTTCGCCTGCAACATATCCCGCGCCAAATCAAGCGCTATGATCCCCGCGCTACACCCCATTCCGCCGAGGTTGTAGCTGAGTATGTTTCCCCGCATCTTGTAATGATTGACGATCATGGCGGAGAGAGACGGCGTGGGATTAAAGAGGCTGCAATTGACGACGAGGACTCCGACATCTTTGGGGCGGACTCGGCATTTCTCGAACAGTTCGTCGAGGGCGCCGAACATGACGGTGGCGGTCTCCGAGCGGCCTTCTTTCATGGTGGCGCAGTTGCCGGTGGAGAAGATGGAGCGGGGGACGTAGGTCTCGTCGCCAATGCCGGAGGATTTCAGGATTCGGCGTTGAAAGGAGAGAGTGTCTTCGTCGAATTTGCCGGAGGAGCGGGCAAGTTCGATTAGTTCGTCGTTCGATACCTGTGTAAGGATTTCATTAACGGTTAATTATAATTGGGGATTAGTGGAATGGATTAAACTCATATAATTAATCATATTTAACTTAAAACATTCGTGATGATTAAATAATTCTAAATAAATTTATCCTTTAAATAGGGAAAAAAATTGTGTTCTGAGATTAAAATTTATTTGAAAATTAGTATTATATATAAATAATTAATAATACATTAATTTTAAAATAATTCTATGACTTTCAATCAAATCCTAATATAACGTGTATTGGAAAATTCTATTATAATTTTTTTAATAAATTTTTTTAATGTATTTAAATTGTATTTGAGAAAAAATGAGCATTAATATAAATATTATTGAATTTATTCTAAAATGGGAGATTTACATACATACCACCTTATATTACTCTATTTACATATTTAACTCTTAAAACTTTAATATTACATACACACCACCCATAGTTTATTTTCATATCAAATATGAGTGGTAAAAATGTAATATATGAGTGATAGGAAAGAAATGTAAGTGGTATATTTGATATTAAAATAATATAGAATGGTATACATGTAATATTAAAGTTTTAGGTATTAGATATGTAAATAGGATGTTATAAAGTGGTATGTATCTAAATTTCTCTAAAATATATGTAATATAAAGATAAACTTTAAAAAATTAACATTAATTTTCAACTAAATTAAGGCTCTTTTAGGGATAATTTTCTTAATGTTTTCTGAAATAATTTTTTCATATAAAAAATTCTTGAAAACAATATACACATAGTGACAAAAAACTACCCCAAATAAATATTATAACTTTATTTGAGATAATTTTCCTTATTACTTTGTAAAAATGTTATAGAGAAAATATATTTTTAATGTTTTTATAAAAAATAACTTTATAGTAAAATTAAAAAAGATTTTCAAAGTAATTAATAAATAGTTATCAAATAAATAAAAATAATGATTATAATTTAAAATATCAAAAAATAAAATAAAATAAAAAAGCTATCTCAATCAAAGCCTAGTTTATCCTCATCCAACTACTCTCCCAAATAAAATATTATGTAGGAGTGTTAAGAAGAATTGGTCAATTATAATGAAGAATTTGACTGTGTAATTAGTGAATTGCTCTTTGGTTATTATTCAGTAATGATTCAATTTCAGAAATAGTGGATGGGGTTTAAGTGACAGTTTAAGTACTTGCAGACAAGCTTAGTGCAACCCTAATTACTAATTAGAGCTCTCATTTGTGATTTGCCTTGGCTGTTGTTAATCAACTAAATATAATTCAAATCATTAATCATTAATAGAGAAAATATTCCTAGAATTTCATATAAATTTAACCAATTAATAGGAAAGTTACGCCAATATTATCATAGATTTCATAATAATTGTTTTTTTTTTCTAAATACTAATATCTTCAATATCACTTAAAGATGCATATTATATTTATATAATTAAGTTGTATGGTTTATTTCCAACTCAACTTAAAAAATAAAGTCTTGGGCTTTGTTTGGGATAGTCTCTATCCACTATTTTTTTGCTGTTTCCAAACAAATTTTGTATTCTAAAGTTATCCCAAATGAAGTTTTTAGGCTTCGTTTGGTACGGCTTTTTTACTGCTTCTTTGAGCAGCTTTTTCAGTACAAAAATTACTTGAAAGCTGCTTTTTTGAAGCAGTAGGAAAGTCATCCTAAATGAAGGCTTCGTTTGGGACGGCTTTTTTATTGCTTTCTAAAACGGAGTTTTAATACAAATTTTTTTATTTTTATACTATAACTCCGTTTTAGAAAGCAATGAAAAAACCGTCTCAAACGAAGCCGAAACCTTAGATAAAGCTTGGGATAACTTTTGACCACTATTTTTTCATTTAAAAAAAATAAAAAAATTTATGCTTAAAAATTATTTTAAAAAATAATAAAAAAAATATCTCAGATAAAGTCTTAATCTTTCTGCTATATTAAAGAATCAGTTGTACCAATTCCATCTAACAAAAGTATCCAGTCTGCAGCTTTATTCCCAAACGCCATTCTCATGAGTTAGTTCAACTAACTTCCTAACTCTTCTTGTATATATTACTAATCCTTTTTTAAGTAGGTTATTATGTTAATTACTCCTGCAATCAATCAGCAAATTGCAATATAAAAACGAATTTAACATATAATTAAGCTTTCAGTGCCCAATACAAGAAAGAAACCAAAAGCCCAATCTCTATCTATTTATGCAAATTTTTTTATTTTTCTTATTTTATATCAAGAACTAGATGTACTTCTATTTATAAACTAAAATATGAGGTTTGCAAATTAACCCCTCCAAATATGTAAATTTATACATTATTTTTTTAATTTTTGATATTATTAATATGCTATCCTAATATATTAATTAAAACAAAATATCCAATCATGGTTGGTTAGTACTAAAGTTAAGAAAATATTTCTCAAATGTTTAGAGAAATAATTTATATGTTCTTCAAAATCATTGTAGGTTTGGTAAGTACAACTACACAAACAAAGCCAACGTAGCATTGAACAACTTAATTTTTTCCTATTAGAAAAATTGACAAAAATTACGGGTCAAGTAAGATAAGATCTTGATCTATTGATTGTGCTCGGGCTACGTTTGGAATGGCTTTTTTATTGCTTCTTAAGCAATTTTTTATATAAGAAATCCGTCCCAAACGAGTCCTTAATCTATGATTAATTTACTCAATTAAAACTAATAATTATTAGAAAATAATTAGGTCAAAATATATTTTGATGGATATATTTAAAAAATTATTGAATTAATTTTTTTATTGGTGTATTACATAAATAAATAGTTAAAAATTGATGTGTACTCTTCAAACTTCAAAGTAATTCAATAATTTTTAGGCTTATTATAATTATTTTTATTAAATACTCTCACTAATTTTTTATAAAAAAAATTATGTTCATCTATTTTGATAAAATTTTGATCAGGATAGGTTTTGAAAATTTTGATTTTACTTTGAACATAATATTAATATATGATAATATGTATTCTATTTTTCTTAAAATAAATAATTAATTTTTTAATTTATTCTAAATATATATTATATATATATATATTCTTAAAAAAAACTACAAATAAAAAAAAACATTTATATATTTATATATTTCAAATTTTATATTAAAACTAAGAAAAAGAGAAGAAGAAAACTGACCTTGAGCTCATCCGACGGCCGAAAACACGCGAAATCCACGAGATAAATCGGTCTGGGCCGCGACATGAAATAAACCGAAATAGTGAAAACCAGTACAGCAAAGAAGGCCAGCACAGTAGCCAAATCATAACTAGCTTCTTCCCACACCTTCCTCCACAGCTCTTCTCTGCTCAAACTCCCCACCTCAGCACTGAACACCACAACTAGCACCGGTATCGTCGCCAGGTATATTCCATGGCTTATAAGATAATGGTACCCAAGCTTCACGTACTTGAGATTCACAGACTGGAGAAAATCCGGAAGCCGGCGGCGAACCCGAACGACGAAGGTCGGCGATCCGGCGTCCGGTCCGGAGGACTCCACGCCGCGGTTGACGATCTCGGTGGAGAGGAAAGTGTGCTCGCCGGTGGCGGCCATGGTTGTGTTGGTCGGTTTGGGAGGGAGGGAGAGAGGGAGGGAGAGGCGAGATGAGTTTATAGGGAAGGAAGAAAGGTGGGTAGAGAAAGGGGATAGTTAATGTACGCAACAAACTTGGAAGGTTGTAGTTGGAACTGCTTTGAATGCTATAGTGGTGTTATGAATGAGAGAGGATGGGGGGTGGGGGTGGGCAGTTAAATTAATATTTAAGATGGCAATGGGAGGATAATATTTTGTAGAAAGAAAATTTTTTTTTTTTCATATTGTATATGATTTTATGTTTATTTGAATAAAGTTTTATTACTGATGAGAATTTATTTATCTATTTATATAGTATTTATGTTTGACAAGCTATGTGTTGTTGTCATCTTGGTGTGGCAATAAGTGTAGATATCTATAATGGTGAATGCTGATGGAGATATTATTATGTGTGCAGTTCGGACTCAGAGATTGAACCGTTCAGTTGTGTGATTGTAAACAGTAAAAGAATAGTTAATGTTCACAGTTACTTTTTCAGTCACAAAACCAAATGATTCGATCTTTGGGCCCGGACTCCGCACCTAATAATCTCTTATGTTGATGAGATCTTTAAAGTTGAAGGAACTGAACCAAAATAAATTTTATCGGTGATAAATATTGTGATAGGAAATATAGATCCTGCTTGGGTGAACTTTTGATTGCTTTATTTTTTAAATAATAATCATAATTTTATTTGGTTAATATTTTTTATTTTCTCCTCACTATTTCAAAAAAAAAGTAGAAAGTTGTTTTTTATAATGATAATAATAAATTCATAATCAACTTTATGAAACGCTGCAGTCATAAAAAAAAAAAAAGTGTTGTGTAAATTGTTTATGCATTGCATTATTTTTTTTTGAAAGTATGGCATTCATTTAAAACTAGATTTAAACGCCTTAAAATTTACCCTCAAATTTGCCCTCACTGTTGATTAAAATTTGTTTCATTGATTAGTGCTAATAAATAAGCGGTATTTCAGCTTCTATTTGAATCCATACACCTAAATGCCAGCTCACACCAAAAGACAAAAAAAAACCCCAAAAAACTCCTAACAGAGCTAAATAATAATTAATGACTATTAAACTCACTACAAGTGATTAAAAACCATTAACAAACAAAGACTACAAATGTCAATGATAGAAAGCAGGTGATGGAGCTCATCCAAGAACAAGAACAAGTATTTCTTTTTAGTAGCGTTATCATCTTTGTTTTAGGTTCTGTTTTAAGTGATTTTTTTGTTGCTTTTTAAAACAGATTTTTAGTAAAAAAAATTCTTAAATTAGAATTTTTTTTATTAAAAAGTTGCTTTATAATAGAAAGTTGATTTATAAAATAATAAGAAAGTTAATCAAAACAAAACTTTAGTGTGGAATGGTCAAAGAATAAGGCTTCGTTTGAGATAATTTTCTTGATGTTTTCTAAAACAGTTTTCTAGTACAAATATTTTTGTGCGAAAAATTATATTAGAAAACAGCAAAAAAGCTATCCCAAACCAAGCTTAAGGCTTCGTTTGGGACGACTTTTTTATTGCTTTTTAAAGCAGCTTTCTAGTACAATTTTTTTTATTTTTGTACTAAAAAGCTGCTTTACGAAGCAGTAAGAAAGCCGTCCCAAACTAAGCCTAAGAGTGACAGAGATGAAAAGCTGGGCTTATATAATTCAAAAGGGATTCAGTAAATTAAGGATTGAAGGTTCCTTCTTTCTGGTATCAAGCTATATTTTATTGTATTGAGATCACTCCTCACATAATATTTGATTTTATGCCATTTACATTCTCCACTCTTATCTTATTTGAAAGTGTTATATATTTTTTTTTTATGAAACTGTTGTCATAATGAAAGTATTACATAATCCCTGTATGATTATATACAATGTGTATTTAGACTTTATTATGAAAAGTATCATAATTAATGCATAATTCTTCATATAATAAGTAATCATCAATAATATCTATATTATTTTAAAAAGGGGCTTCTGATTTTTTTCATTTTTACTAATTAAGAATATATTCTCATGTTTAAAATTGAAATAATAAATCATGATTATATTATTACAAATGAAATTTAAAATAAAAGTTATATAGAAAATTTTATTTTTCAGTTGAAATTAATATAATTTTTACTGCTGCTCACTTTGAATAGTCATATGAAAAGAGTCAGGAAATTTTTTTTCTTCAATTAGGTTTTGTTTGGGATGATTTTCTTATTAGTTCTTAAAGCAACATTTCAATATAAAATTAAATTTTTTTATTAAAAAATACTTTAAAAAATAGTAAGAAAGTCATTCCAAATAAAATCTTAATTAAAACTCTTTTTTTTATTTTTTTGCTGCCTTCAAACTATTTTCCATCACCTATCAATATATCTCTAAAATTTTAATTAGAAATAGACAACCCATGTGTTTTTGAACGTGATTGTGCTTAATTGCTATCTGTCTTTGCTTATACTTTTAATGCTCCATTTATTGTTCAATGTAGGATGTTAGCATTGTAGGATATATGATGCACGGTTTTATTAGCTATAATATTAATTAATTATTGCAAAATTATGATAAGTACTGGAAATTAATGATCACACAAATGATATTATTTAAAAAACTCTTTGTTTCATTTGAGATAATTTTTTTATTACTTTATAAAGTAGTTTTTTAGTACAAAATTTTCAACTTTAAAAAAAATTATACTAAAAAACTGTTTCATAAAGTAATAAGAAAGCTGCCACAATCATGCCATTCTGATTGGGGAAAGAGAATAGTCCATTCAAGAATTGCAACGAGGCCAAAAAGCTAAGGTGAGAAGTGTTAAGGCACTCATTATGCTGTGAAGCTATTCTGCTCTGATACCATAACAGAGAACCTGCATCAACATCGTTAGAGAGAAGAGAATAATAGAATGATGCAAAACCATCTATTCATTATACTATTCTTCAATATATAAAGACCGAGGGAGCCGAATATTCAAAGGTGTCAGTCCAGGTCGTTAGAGGCCGACTGTACACAGTGAGATTAGGATAGTGTTCGACAGTGATAGGAACACATTACAAAGGTAAACCTCATGCATAACGTAATGAGTGCCTTGACAAGAAGAGCCTCATCATTGTCCTCATTGTCCAATATTTTCTAAGGAAACATCTGAATATTAATGAAGTTTTTTTTTCTAACATTTTGCTTAACAACTATCATAATATTAAAAGAGATAGAAGATGTGTTAGAGATATGTTAGATGTGCTAATAGTTGATGCAATTAATATTGAAAGATTAGAAAAGTACAAGCTAGATCAAGGCAATGCTTATAAATTAGAATTAACAAATCTCATCTAGAAAGATTGGAGAATGATTGATTGATGGGAAAAAGGTTAGTGATTGATTATAATGATGATAAACTACTCCTTTATATTTTAATTTCAAATAAGGACCCTTAATTAATTAGTATGTGATATAAGAAAAGTAAAATGATTAGTGATATTTAAAACTTTGATTAAAGATTAAAAATATATAAGTCCTAAGTCTATGTTATAAATATTTTATTTTAAAAGATTTATTTTTTTTTTAATTTTAATGCAATGTTATTATTCAAAATAATCTCTTAAAAATATATATATACTTTAATTTGTTTAAATCAATCAAAATTTTCTTATTAGAACGAGTTTTAAATTTATTAAGAGTGAGTTTGGGAGAATTTTCTCATTGGGATAACTCATTGCTTTATAAAAAAAATTTATGATGGGAAAATGCTTTTTACAACCGAATCGCTAATGTGCAGTAATTTTGAGAAATGAGCTGTTTAATTAAAAAAGAAGAATATTATTCAAAATAGCTTTAAAAAAAATCCCTTCCCCTGTACAAATTTCATAATTATCTTTATAAAACACTACAGTTGTTCCAAATAGATCTTTAATTTGCTTTTAAATTGAAAAATAAAATTTAATCAGAATTGATATATCATCAAAAATAATCTTGATCGGGCACGAATCTTGAGGCAAAATCAAGGTGGAAATTTCAAAAATTAAATCGGAAATCATATGAACTCCGGTTTCAGTAAACTTACAGTTGAACTGAACGGCTCAAAACTACAACAAATTTGACTCATTCTAAGCCCAAATGAGTCCACATCAATGACCCAAGGCACGTTTGGAAGGTTCAAATCATAATTTGGATTACTAAACAGTTTCCAAACATGACATGCTTATAGTTGAATTGAGCGGCTCAACGAGATGAATCTAACGAGCCCAAGATCGCTAAATTCTAATATCATTAAGACGTTCAAATGTCCAGTAAACGGTCTATGATCAAGGGACGATTCAACATCGACCGTCCATTCAAACCAGTCCCAATTTACCCTTGATATTCCTCCTATTTACTGGTCATGCCACTATCAAAAAATTATAAATAGACCCCTTATTTCTCATGGAGGAAGGATGCCCAAGCAAGAAGAAAAGGAAGAGAAGGAAGAGTTCTCTTCCCACTAGACTCCTCCTCGACCACCTCCCGATCACCCATCGACTTCGGATCTTTGCCCGTCGTCGGATTTCTACTATATATCAGACTTCAGCTAGTCACTGTACTTCTACCCAATGTCAGACTTTTATCTATCGCCTGACTCCTAACCGACACCGGAATTCTGCCTGTCACTAGACTTCTACCTGTCACTAGACTTCTACCCGTCGCAGGGACTTTCGTTGGGCTTCTATCCGACGTCAAACTTCCGCTAGTCTTGAGACTTATGTCCATCGCTGGATTTCTACTCGATGCCGGACTTCTGCCCTCCGCTAGTCGTTGGGCTTTTGCCCGTCGTCGGACTCTACCTAACATCAAACTCCTACCGTCGTCAGACTTCTGCTCATCGCTGGACTTGTATTCGAAGCCACCTCTATCTCTAAACAACAGTCCTTCCGACCTCTATCGCCCGCCGACTACGGTCCTACTGACCCCGTTGTCAAACAATGGTCTTTATGCCCTCAGTCGTCCGCCGACTACGGTCCTTCCAAACTCCTTCACCAAACAATGGTCATTTTAACCTCCGTCGCCAAATACGATCCTTCCG